AGCCAGCAATGCTGGCTGGGGAATTCTGGGAGTTGAAGTCCTCACATCTTAAAGGTGCCAAGGTTAAGAAACACTGCTCTAAAGGGAGTCAAACAAATCATTCAGACACACAAAACATTTGCGATCCCCCAATCAAACTGATTAGGGGCAGGCTGAGATAAAAAAAGAAAGGATTTCATCATGCGTTGTCTTGGGCAAGAAAAGGACCTGCTCCCTGCCGGAGTCTCTCTTGGGCTGGCCTGCCGAAAGCGGCCACTCCAGTCCACCCAGCCTGGCGAAAACGCTTTGGAAGAAGAGCCAAGGGCCACCTCGGCACTCAGACGCAGTTGCACAACAAGAAGCTTTGCTGGCTGGGGAATTCTGGGAGTTGAAGTCCACCCATCTTCAAGTTGCCAAGGTTGAGAAACGCTGCTGTAGAGGTTAGAAGAGAGGCAGTCCCAGAATGGGGAAAGGAAATGGGGGCAGAGGTTCAGGGCCCAAAGCGCGGGAAGGGAAGGGAAGGGAAGGGAAGGGAAGGGAAGGGAAGGGAAGGGAAGGGAAATGTGGAGGGTGGGAGGCAGTGCATTCTAGAGAAAGGGGGAGAGGGAAAAGGTAGGAGGCATGAAAGAGAAGAAATTGCCAAGAGGAGGAGGAGGCGCGGGGGTGGTGGTGACGGTGGCAGAGAAGACGCAATGCCAAGCACATGGATACCAGACTGAAGAGCTGGGAAAAGCAAAGCCTCCATGTGGAGACAGGGAAGCTGCCTGGGGGCACAGCAGCGGGCACAGCAAAGGCAGGGAAAGCAAAGCAAGGCACAGCTTGAAGACCCCAGAGAGCAAGAAGGCCGCAGTCCAACCAGAAACCCCTGCGGTGGAGAATCAGCCTCAGCGGCTCTGGAGGCCAAGGGCCAACGGTGCAGAAGGCCAACGGGTGAATCTCCCTTACCAAGGATGGTTTCGTCGGTCCCAAAATGAGTGCGGTAGAAGAGGACCAGTTCCAGCCAGTAGACGTGGTAAACGACCGTCAGGATGACCACAAGCATCACGGTTGCCCCCAAGCCACAAGCGAGCTCCACGGTGTATCTCGTAACTGGGGCTGAAGGGAGGCAGCACAAAAGGAGAAGAAGAAGAAGAAGAAGAAAAATGGGATTCTTTTTTTCAGGACAGGAAAAAAAGGGGGGGATTCTCTTTCTTTCATAGCAAAGGCAAAACACTGAGGATGGCAGTTTCTGGATGTTCAGAGGCATCCCGGCTATATCGTGACTTTTAAAACAAGAAATAATTCCCCTGGAGGAAGAGCTCTCCCCAAAGTCATGAGGTGGACATGGATGGTTGGGGAGAAACGGGGACACCTGAGAGGTGCACGGTCACCTGGATGGAACACCTGCAAGAAAGGGCTTCCTGCTTCTGATTCCAGGCATTCCCCATCAGTTTCAGGGCTGGGACAAATAAGGAGTACAAATCATCCAGGACTGCCCCCAAAGCCCACCCCATTCTTGCTTGGGTGGCACTACATGCCAATGTGATTATTGTTATGATGGGAGAGCCAATCTGGAAGCTGGCTCTAGCACATGTGTTCTCCATGGACATTCCCTGGCTACTTCCAAGGTCAGAACTGGTGTCTCTGGTCACTGATGGCCAACACTGCCGTTCCCTCACAGCATTTCCCCTTCCCCCTGGGCCCCACCACGTGTCTTGTCTGTCAGCTAAGCTAATTCTGAACACCAGTGTAGTGCTCTCCAGACCTGAGTTCAGAAAGAGCTGGACAGACAGGTGCTGAAGAACAGGTAGCAAGAAGCATCAAGAGAGCTTCTCCATTTCACCCAGCACCCTGTTTAATGTCTGCTACCAGTTATTTGGGCACTGGACAGGTAGCTAAACCCACCATCTAAGCATTGCCTAAACTCCTTCCCAAAAAACCAAGAAGAGTGACCGGTGATACTTGATGGGAGGGAAGCAAAGCCTGAAGACTCCAGAATATGTTCCTGAACCTGGCCCACAATACAGATGGTACCATTTGTACTTTATGCCAGCTCGAACCCCTGAGGAAAGCCCCTTGATGTAGCTGCCAGGAAGGATTCAGAGATAGAGAAGTGGGGAAGGTGAGCTCCATCCAGCCATGGATTCTCCCTTCCATCCCAGGATCCCAGCTCCCGAGGGAGCTTCTGGCTCTGCGTCCAGCATGGCTCAGCTTCAGTTCAGCTTCTCGAGTTTAAGAAGCAGCAGAGGGCAGCAAGTGATGGGGAAGAAGTCAGAGACATTTGGACAAGATGGATGCCCTGAGGCCCAGAGGAGGGCTTTTAATAACTTTGCCCCTGCTCAGCCTCTGACGCTCCCTGCCAGAACCAGAGGTTTCTGAGGACATCCGCTGCAGATGCTGATTATACCCAACCAAGAGTTCCGGCCTCGTGAAGGACTTAACATCTCACAGCTTCCACTGTCTCTTCAAGCCAAGGGGTTGAGCTGCAGAAGAGCCCAAAACGTGAAAAATCAAGGGAAGCACCCACCTGTTTGTGCCACCATTTAGTGACAACCATCTGGCTGGGGAGGAGGGGCACAGTAAACAGGCTAAGCTGGGATGCAGATCATGCATCCGAAAGAAGACAGTGACCAACCACTTCGGTATTACTGTGAAGTGCCTGGACAGTCATCATGAGTCGAGCTAGAGTCCAAGGAGAATTCAGCTTTTCAACCGCTGCCCAAAGTTTAGCTTTAGGGCAAGATGGAAATGCTCCCCAAAGAGATTAATCAACAAGTGGCTTCAAAGGACTTGAGGGCTAGAGAGGGGCCCGTTCCCTAAAAACTAAATGGAGCTCAGCATCCAGGGACAGGTTCTCTGGTCTGGCGCCTAGCAGGCCACCTGTTTCTCGTTAGGTTAAGCAAGGTTGTGGTCAAGCAAGCAAACAAAACCTGGCATTTCCACTGATTTATTTCTAAAATTTCCAGACTTCCCAGCAGTATTCCCTGGGCAGCGCACAAATCCATTAAAAACAGACCATCTAAAATAAACCAGTATGAAACAATAAATCAACAACGTTCTGGGGAGAACAACCCAGCTGCAATCAACCTCAGTGTAAATGCGCCCCAGGAATTCTTGTATCAGTTCTACCTACGCTGGCAGCCAAAAGAGGTTCTGATGCAGAAACAACGTCCCCCAACTGGTGCCGTCCAGATATGTTGGCTCTGGGCTCTCATAATTCGTAGACAACGTGAAGTGGAAGCCCAACACATCTGAAGGCACTGACTCAGGAGAGGCTAAGCGGAAACCACTCCACAGAGGCAAACCCTGGCTTTACTTAAGTCTGAACTCGGCTCCTTCCCCCTCTTCCTCTCTGGAGAGACCTTTCTGCTGGAGAAAGCAAGAGAACAAGCTTCCTCCCATGGTGGACCTTTGCAGCAGACACCGGCAGCGCAGAAGTCGCAAAAACAGAGAGAATAAAAACCCCCGACTCCTTCCCTGCCTGGATCCCAGAGTTTCCAGAAAGGCCGGTGGTTGCACTCGGCTTCCTTACGTTTCATCCGCACGATGGCCTGGACCTGAACAGTGCCTTTGTTGTTCTGGGCAAAGCAAGTGTAATTTTTTTTCAAATCCTTCTCCGTCACGCGGGGCACAACCAGAATCTTTTTGATTGTCGTGCCTCCGATCGCCAAGGGGATTTCCCTAGAAAAGGCCAAGAAGAGAAAGAAAACAGAAATAGAAGCTTGGTCCACCAGCAAAAAACGTGTGCGTTCCTAGTGGAAACACTTCCTGGTGCCCAGGTGAGCCTCAGGATGTACAGCTCTTTGGGAAGTCTCAGAGTTGCATTCCCAACGCATCAGGAAAGACCCCGGTTGAGAAAGGCTGGCCGGTGCGTGTAGCTCACTGCAGCTGCCCACCCTGAAAACGTGCCTTGCTCTAGCTGGGCCTGTCTTTGGAACGCCGGCTAAACTATAACGTTGGTCACTAAACGGACATAAGGCCCCTGGAGCTTCTCGTGTTCAAGAGCCACTGGCTGAGTTGAATGCAGAGCAAAAAATGTAGATCCAGATGCATGCCCTACATGCCACTTTTCCCTGCAGCTGCGTTCACACAGTGCAGTCCCCCAAGTCTGCTAAAGACCCCGGGGTCACATGTCAACAAACCTGGATCGGCTTATGGCTTTGCATGCTGCGTGAACCCAGCAACTCAGGCACCAGGTTAGGTGCGCGATGCAAATTAAATGAGTGAGAAAGGGGCGTCTATCTTCCAATACACAATCCCTGCAGCTGTGAGCTGTTTTTGACCGACAATAGGAGCCAGCTTGATCCCAGTTCTCCTAGGTTCTTTCAAGCTTACCCCAAATCAGCGGGCTCTGTTCTGCCTGGCTGTCAGGCACCTTCCTCACCCTGGCCTCCTGGAGAGGCCTTGCATTGCTCTGTGGCTCCCAGCACCCTCAGCCAGAGCACACACTTGAGCCCAGATGTTGCAGGCTCCAGCAGAGGCCAGAGGTGCTCTGCACAGCATCCCTCAGCCTGAAGGAAAAGCCAACCCAGAGCTTGCTGGCAATTCCTGGGCTGGAAGTGAACGAGCTGACCTTCTTCCTCTAGGAGCTGGCCTGGGGCTGTGCTGGGAGCAGAGGCAAGGGGATTGCTCTATCCACCCCTCCTCTTTCGCCTGGAGCCAACTGCTCCTCACCAGGGGTGCCAAAAGACACCTCTTGTTTCATCTCCTTTGGGCATCGGGAATGTCAACTCGGGTTAAAGCCTCACCCCGCACTACAGGCCAGGGTACAGGGCATAGTTTAGGAGTGTGCAATTTGGGATCGGGCTGAAAGCCTGGAGTCTGCCACCCAAACGCCTTTAAAACTTTTATATGCTCCATGCCTTTCTTCAGGGTTTTCTGTACAACAATGACCCTGTGAGGTAGGCTGGGCTGGAAAAGAGAGACTGGGGGAACATGAGGGTCTTGCACCTTTGGAGGAGGAACCCTGACTCCCTCCCCAAGCAGCACACTCCATCTACCCATTTTTGGCTGCACTTTTCCCATCCACCATTGAGAACCTGGATGAAGCCATGATGTTCCCCTTTTAGCCAACAGGACAGTCCTTGACTCTTACTCATGGGATATGTTGAACTTGAGGTCAGTGATGTCATCCGTGGGTTTTCCATCAATGACCCACCAGACGTCCTGGGGAGAGTCTTTCAGGAATGTAAAAGAGACCTCGCAAAGAAGAAGCAGTTCTTGTCCTAGCATGGGAAACAGCAGGAAGGTTATTACTCACAGTGTCCACATGGAATAAGAACCAAGTGCTGAAAGATGCCCTCTTAGACCAGTCTGGCATCTCCAAGGGTGTTGGGACTGCCCCATCCATCATCCCCGTCTAGCATGTTGCAATTCCCAACCCAGGCATCCAGCTTCAGAAGCTCCTGTGGATGAAGGTCTTCTTCTAAACATCACCTTTCGGGCAAGCAGAAGCTGCATTCCTACACCACCACTCCCAAACAGACTCTCAGCAGGACTGTCGTGGGAGCAGGGTTTCCCTGCAGCACACGAGTGGTTCTGATCATGGAAACAGGGTCTTTGGGCCAGGTGGGCATCTGCAGAGGGCAGAACGAGCCAGCCTGGTGCTGAAGCAGTATTTTCCCGAGAACCTCTTCCTACTAACATTGACGCTCGGAGGAAAATGCTATGTGGTTATACCCTGTACAGGATTTTGCTGAATGGGAAGGTGAAGTGCTTGAGCTACAGGAAAAAATTATAACGGCACAGCATAAGAAGGGTTTACGCAATTGTAACTTGGGGTTTGGGGCTGCATTTGTCTGCCTGGCTATTTATTACGGTCGTGTACATGCACATTCCAAAATTATGCTCTGTTCTGAAAGAGAAGCTACAATCTGCCTCGGCTATGAGTCCCACAAATGATGTTATCTTTATAGCTTCACATGGGATAATTTAAGGGTAACACCTGGAGGATTTCCCTGGCTTCATTTCCTCTACCAGCCAGTATTGCAAGCCGGCAAGAGAAATCACCCCTAGTCATGGTCCTTAAAGGATGGTGGGACAGGACTGGATCCATACGACCAGGGACTGGGGATGGAGACCTCAGCCACTTTCACGTTTCTGGAGTAGTGTTTCTCACTCTTAGCAGCTTTAAGATATATGGACTTAAAGATGGTGGCTGGGGGAATTCTGGGAGTTGAAGTCCACCCATCTTCACGTTGCCAAGGTTGAGAAACACTGTTCCCAAAGTAACCAGCTGACAGGACCTTCACCCCACTGACCTGTCGGCCGGGTTAATTTTGGACATGGGTCTACCACAGAAGGCTGGTAGATGGTATTCAGAAATAGGTCAAGTGACAAGTCATAGATACAATGGAGGGATTGTGAGGAGCATCAGTGACCTGCTCCTCACAATATTTATTTATTTATTTTA